GAGGTGCAATTTCATCAAGGTGGTCAATTTCCAAATGGGTAATCCAGGAATGTTTCCTTGACTCTAAGCATAGAGCAGTTTCCAGAGATTCTGGCCTTGGCTGGCTCCACTCTCACACCGCAAGATATGTGGCATTATTGGGGGGGGAGCTTTCAATAGCATACCCTCCTGGGGATTCAGCATAACTTCCCCAGGAGCAGAGATGGTTTAGGTTCAGGGCTCAAAGTTCCCCTCGCCCTCTTCCCTTCCTCCCTCTTCCACCATCCCTTCCCTTCTCCTTCCAGCTTATCTTCTCTCCGCTCTTCTTTCCTTCCGCTCCCTGGCGTTCTGTTATGAGCCGTCTTGCTGTGGCGTGGATGACTCTGCCAGGTCCTCCAGGAGATCATGGGAGGGAAGACATGTCAGAGAGATTTGGAGCTGCCCCTTCTCTTCTAGCTCCTGCTAGGGCAGAGCCCTTAGCCCTGGTAAGTCCACGGGACTGTGGAAACCCTAGCTCTGATGGGAAAGAAGAGAGGGGCTTTTGGGTCTCTCACTTTCCTCTTCAGTAGAGTCATCACTCTCAACCAAGGTTTAGGGTAAAAACTGGGGCCTGATTCAGTGATGGAAATCCCAGGCATCAAGGCTGGGCTGGTGCAAGGCAAGGGAGGGATTGCGGACAGGAAGTGGTGTGGCTGTGTGGGTGTGAAGGAAGGGCTTCCTCCCTCGCTGACACTTTCTCAGCCTCCCTCCCTTCCCCCCGCCCAACAGCCAGCCAGCGCAGATTCCGTGCCAGAGGCTGGCACACAGCAGCAGTGTGAACAGAACAAGCAAATCCAATCCCCACCAACTGGTCTACTCCCCTTGTCCCTCCTGGAATCATCTAACAGTTTCTCAGATTTATACAGAATTTCTACTTGGTCAGAGTAGGAGTTGGGGAGCTGAGACAGCCCCTCATGTTACTGGGAGCTTGATGAGAATGTTCCTCCATCAAGCTCAGTGAACATTTGGTTTTCAGAACTCTGGTCACATTTCCAGTTGTCTTAGAGGGGACTCCACCCCAGCACCATGCGCCACCTCAGTTTTGGTTCACTGAGACCACACTTACTACTTTGACATCAACAGGGAAGGTCTAACTGCCCCTAAATGTGAACTCAGCCTCAAATGAACACACAAGCTTAGGGAGGCAAACTCTGTGTTCAGCAGCTAATTTGAATAAAGATCAGACCATTTGCACGCTGGAGCAAAGTGGCTGGGGTCAAGGGGTATTAAGGACTTGGGAGACTCATATATGATACGAAGGTTTCTGACCAGCTGGATGATGGAGCCCTTTATAAAACAGGTGAAAACAGACTGAGAAGCACATTTGAAAGACGAGGGGTCATGTGTACAGCTTGGAGAGTGTTGAGCGGACGCGCTTGTGAGATGTCCTCTCAGAGACACATGGTGGGAAGCTGCATGTACAGGTTGGCCCCCAGGGGAGAGCTGGGCTCTGGGTACTGACGGGAAGTTATCTGTATACAGAGAGATGGTGACTGAGGCCCCCAGAAGAGGAGCCCCTTTATAATGAGAACAGGCAGAGAGAGGAAGAAACACAGAAGCCAGTGTCCAAGGCTGCTGGAAAGGAGAGGAAGAAAAGCCTGAGATATTCCCATTAGGCCTGGCAGCCAGAGCTTGCTGGGACTTCCGAGTGGGGGTCCTACACCTTCTATGGCAGAGACTAACAGAGTCATGAAATCCAGTTCCTCCAACCTGAGCATGAAGCTAAATTTCATTTCTGGACCTCCCTTTAGCTGGGTGAGGCTGTGGGACTGAGGTCTGGCCCATGGACTATGGGCAGAAAATTATTCACTATCACCTCCAAGACATAGCCTCTCCCCACCCCCTTCCATGGACCTCTTCCTCCCGAGTCTCCCAGTCAGAGTAGAGGATTGGGGGTACAGTGCAACTAAATGGAAGGAGATTGGTCCCTGAATTATGTGGAGCCACGGGGCTCAGGCCAGTGGAGCAGCAGACACAGACACCCCGGTGTTAGCGGTGGAGGGGGTGAGCAGCCAGCTGAGCAGCAGTGACAGTGGGATCAGAGCAGATCAGCTGTCAAGACAGCTAGACGGGTCTGCAAGCCCCTTTGTGACCCAGCTGGGGTGGCAGGGAAGTCCCTTTGGCCTTTGCTGTGCCGCCCCCCAAAGCTGCCTGCCCACCTAGCTCATGTGGCTGCAGGGGAGACGATCAGGAAGGGGAACCAAGACCCGGGAGCTGCAAGACAACCTGAGGAGATGGTAGACGCCTCTTCAGGAAGAGAAAACGTATTGTGCTTCTAAATTCCAAGAACTTGGCCAAAGGAGAGGCACAACCATCTTTATTATCCAAATTCCATCATCAGAGGAAACGATTCTGCGTAACAGCGGAACCTAGTAGCTGCCATAGTGGAAGTGAAGTGAGTCATGAGGGTGGTCTCCCGACCTGGGTCCACTCAAGGCTCTGAGAGTCAGGTGCCTGTGGGACACAGCCCAGAGCTCCGAGGAAGAGGCCTGGCAAGGCGCCTCCCCATCTAACATGGATGTGGCTGTGGGGGAGATGGCCAGGACGGGCAAGCAAGACCCTTGATCCGCAAAACAGCCCGAGGAGATAGAAGACGACCTCTTCAGGAAGAGGAAACAATGGAGGAGGCCTGGCCCCGGGTCCCCTTGTACACAGATGCGGAGGAGCCCTGCTCCCAGGCGTGGAAAGGACCAAGGCTCCTGGCTGCGCTTCACCGGGGCAGGCAGCCGGCCACAGGGTCCGGCCGCAGCACCGGCACGAAGTTCATGGGGCACAGCAGCAGCGGGCACATCTTCTCGTGCTCCTTCAGCGCCTCGCTCAGGTGCTTCAGCTCCTCCGTCAGCTTCCCGATCTCCCTCCGAAGCACTGTGTTTTCCTGCTCCAGGCACTCATATTCCTGGGGAAGACGGAGAGTCGGCTACATCATTTCTGAAAACAGACTCCCTTCCCCCTTCCTCCCGGCAGATCTAACCCACGCTGTGAAGCTCGCCTCCTTCCCACGAAAGCTTTCTCGTTAACCACGCCCCCCTCCACCACTCATAATTGTTTGTTCATTTGCTCACTGTCTGTCTCCTTCTGCCAAGACAAAAGGTCCACAAGGCCAGGGCTTTGCTTGTCAAAAAAACTTTATGAGGTGTAATTTACAGAAAATAAAATACACTGATTTTAAGGGCATGATTCAGTGAGTTCTGACAAATGTAAATAACTATGTTGATCAAGACAGAATGTTTCCATCACTCTGGGAAGTTCCCTAGGGCCCCTTTGAGCCTCCCTTCCCCCCAACTGCTGATCTGCTTTCTAAAGGTCCTGTTGGGTTCACTGCCTTAGTTAGGAACAGTGCCTGAAACTTAACATATGCTTGTTGAGTACTCAGTAAATGCTTTCTTTGGCTTTGCTCCCAAACTCATGTGTTATATTTCCTCTACATCAGAGTTTACAGAGGCCTAGAACTGGAGGGGTTCACAGAAACCCCTTAGCCCAACCCTGTAGCCTAACAATGTAGAAACCTTCCCTGTGTAATTCTAGGTAAGACATCCAACTGATGCTAAGCACTCTCTCCTTCAAAGGACAGTCCTTGCCTTTGCTGAGCTGCTCTATGAGAAAGGTCCTCTTTGCACTGACCCAAAAACTCTCTCCTTCAAACCCACCTGTTGGGCTTGGTTCCACCTTATGGAACCACATAGAGTAAATGCAATACTTTTTCAACATCACAGTTCTTGAAATGTTAGGAGACAACCCCACACCACTTCCCTTTAGGTATTCTCTGAGCTCAACTGTCTCAGGTTCTCCGGGTTCCTTGGGTTGTGGGACTCCTGCTCCCTTTGCCCTCCTGGACACCATCCAACACATGCTCCAGTTTGCCAGGAGCTCTGAGAGAACATCATTCCAACATGCAGTGCATGCTTCCAGGGATGGCCTGACCATGCGGACAGCAGGCAGATTGTGGAGGTGATCTGCTCTGGGCTGGACCCAAGCCTACAGCCAACCCCCACTCTGGGGAACTGCCCCTGAGCATGCAGAGAAGTGCAAGCTTTGTGTGCATCTGCTGCTTCTCTGTCTATACTTTAAAGACCATTAATATTCGGAGCTTAAGGATGGGCCTGACGCCCACCTCTACTGAATTTCACCTTGTTCTCTGGAACATCTTGCAGCCTAGCAAATATTTCAGAATCTTAGATTGTGTCAGCTCATAGACTAATGATACCACAAACTATAAGCCGTGCATGAACTTGATGAGCAGGCAGGGCAGGTCTTCCTTGTATTCCTCCAAGTCAGTAAGTTCTACAGTGCGTGGTCAATGGCAGAGGCCCTATGCCATGCCATAGAGACCCTCTTAAGGCTGGCAATCTGATTTAAATCTTCTGAAATGTTGTTTTCAGTCATTTCTAGTTGATTCACACTGTTGGGCTTTGTTGTACCATGCCTACTATGTTTCCTAAGCAGGGGGTCCAACTCATTTTCCATTATATCTTTTCTCTTACTAGTAATTTTTAAGAAATATCACTAAGAAAGTCTGATCTTACAGGCCCTTAAGGCACATGCAGATCCTCAACTCTGTCCCTGGACTGCCTTTGTCTTTTTTCTGTGGGCCCAGCTCAAGTCCACCACCTCCAGGAAGGCTTCCATGATCACAGCACTAATGGAAACACATCTCTTATTATGTGTCTTATTCAGTCTTGTGTCATATTTAATCACACTTAAATAAGGTCTCTCTCTAAAAATCAGAAAGATATAGCACATGGGGCCTCTGCTACCCTCTCTTGTGCCCCACCTGACAGGCCCCAGTGCTGGCATCTAACTGCTCAGTGACCCCTCAGCCCTCTGTCTCCTTCCCTCACCCCTTTCCATCCCTCCCTTCCCCTCCAGGCATCTTCCTCCCTCCCAGGACAAGGGGCTCAGAGGAGCTGCATGCAAAAGTGATCTGAGCCATTCCTCTGCCTCCTGCCTTTCCCAGGCAGGCTCTCAGGGTAGTCTGGAATACTTTGCAAGGCAGCAGGCCTCACCTCTTCTCCCCACAGGCTGTCCTGGCTCAGTCTGGCATCACTGGTACACCGGCCCTGCTCCGCCAGTAGCCCTCCTCCGCGCCTACCACCCCCAGCTCCGCATGCACTCCTCTGGCCTCTGACAAGCTCTAGGCCTAGAGTCAGGATTCGGTCTACAAACACAGCAACCAAGCCCTCTGCGGGCAAGGGGAGGGTCTGGATGGGAAGACGGGGATGGAAGCCCAGGCATCGTGAGAAGCCTGCCTGCAACAGGGGTGAGGGGCACACACGCACACACACGCACTCTCCACCCTGCAACTGGAAATGCTCCTCACTTCCACATAAAAGGAGAATAGATTTGAATGGTTCCAATGAGCTAACATTTAAACAAGATTCCAAAGATTAAGAAACTCTCTTCCTGTGGTAAACATTCCAAACCGATTTTCCATATTTACTGATTTTTGTGGTGAGACGCTGTGAGCTTCTGAGCTTGACCTCTGGAAGCCATGAGGAGTCACGCTGCTGAAGGTACAGCTGCTCTCCCCAAACCCCAGCCCAGAAGGGCTCAGAGCTGCCCCCACAGGCCACCCAGCAGGCCCCTTGCCTGCCTTCTGGGGGGGAGGGGGGGACTTTCTCCTCTGGGATCTAAGTTTTACTCACAAATGCGCTGAGGGACTTTTATGGAGCTGAGGGGATAAAAATGAGAGAAGTAAAAACCTTCTTCAGGTGAGGAGCTGGGAAGGGAGGAAGAGGAGGGGAGAGGACGCTGAGAGGGAACGAAGGGAATGGGTAGAACCCGCTTCACACTGAGAAGAAACTACCTGGACTTCGCAGACGTCAAAAATAATAAAAAACATTAGGCCCTCTGTTGTTTCCAAAGAGATGCTTGGTTTAGCTCAATGACTGCTGAGTTTCGAATCCTTTGCCCCAGGAGGGTTTGCAGTTACTGGGTTGCCTTCCTGGGTATCTTCCAGGACACTGTCACAACGCAGAGACTTACAGATTAGAGGCGGTGAAGTCACTGCACATCCCAGTTCTCTCTCAGAAATTAAGCAGCCAAGGGCAGCAATTCTCAACTGGGGCAATTTGGGCAGGCCCCAGGGGTCACGTGGAGTGTCTGGAGACAGTGTGGGGAAGGGGGTGTTACTGCACCTAGAAGGCAGAGACGCCCCCACAACAAGGAATCATCCAGCCCCAAGACTGAGAAACCCTGGTCTGGGCATCTAAAGAGGCTGACGGGGAGATGCGGGGCTGTCTGGGGATATTCAGTCAGGGTCCAGGGTGCCTCTGAGGCAGAGGGGAGGGCCAGGGCTGCTAAAGAAGCTAATGTGGGTACCAGGGGTCAGAGATGACAACAAGGCAGGAAAGGAGATGAGGGGAAGGAAAAGGCCACTAGGGGAACACAGCCACACACAAGACCCCACTTCTCAAGCAAGAAACTGAAACTCTGAGAGGCACGGTGACTTTTCCAAGGTTGTGCATACTGGAGCCTGATCCCGACTTCAAGGTCAACTGCAACTCGCGTGCAGTGACAGTAATTCAGCTTTCGCTTGGCAGTGCCTAGGCTCCAATTTCCCCATGGCGGTTACCAGCAGAAAAGGGCTGCAAGAGCTCAGGATTTTACAAATAAGTCTATTCCCAAGCCTTAAGGTGATACCCTTCCCAGCAGAAAAATGTGTCACCAGCAAGCGCTGTAAAAATGAGTGTCTTCATCAGTTTCTAAACTAACTGGGGACTAACACGAAGCATTCTCTTAGAATATACAATATCTGAAAAAACCATGGCAACACATACCACAACCATATTACTCAAGAAACTTGTCTGTGACATTTGGCGCTCCTAAGGATGGCATCGATGCCTTCCTTTTCTGACTCAAAATTCTTTCTCAGTCTTACACCTTTAGGTGCCTGGCTTCAACCAGTCTGACCCATTTCTGAGAGAAGTGTCTTTCAGCCTGTCTTTAGGGAGCTGGACTGTTCACTTGGGTTCCTATTTGTGAATGTGGACTCAGGCGTGTGCCTAACGTTCAGAGATGAATAGGGGTCGAAATCCCCGTGAGAGATGTAAGCGCCTTGAAGGGGTGATTAGAAAAGCCACAGAGAACACTGAGGTCCACAAATACACACAGGGAACCACTTCTCATCACGGCAACCCAACTTCCAGCAACCACCGCCCTGCAGAGAAAGCTCGGACGGAGGAGCGGCCCCAGCCTCTCCCAGGCTTGGCCTGTCCAGGCTGTCCCACTGCCCTGCCCTCTGAGAAGTTCCCACCTTTTTTTTTTTTTTAATATATCTTTATTGATTTGAGAGAGAGGAAGGGAGAGGGAGAGAGAGACACAGAAACATCAATGAGGAGAGAGTCATTGATCGGCTGCCTCCTGCACGCCCCCAGGTGGGAATCGAGCCCGCAACCCGGGCACATGCCCTGACCGAGAATCGAACCGTGACCGCCTGGATCCTAGGTGGATGCTCAACTGCTGAGCGACGCCTGGCTGGGCAGAAGGCCCCACCTTGAAGGACAGTCCTCTGGCTTTGGAGACAGAGAACTGGGAGGGGAGGGAAGTGGCTGAGACACTTAGATGAGCTGGGACTAGAGGAGGTTTTTCAGTGTTAGAGGTAAGTGAGTGAGGTAGGCAGGAGAGGAAGGGGGGAATTTTAAACGTCTTACTCTAAGTATTCCCCTTCATGGTATTCAAGAAAGGCAAATAAAGATCTCGAGTTACTCTGAAATGTTTAACAGTGCTATCCCACAGTCTGGNGAGTGAGGTAGGCAGGAGAGGAACGGGGGAATTTTAAACGTCTTACTCTAAGTATTCCCCTTCATGGTATTCAAGAAAGGCAAATAAAGATCTCGAGTTACTCTGAAATGTTTAACAGTGCTATCCCACAGTCTGGGGTGGAGGCGTCTATGGGACAGGTACTTTACTCAAGTCTCCGCAGGGAGTAGCAAACAGCCACGGCTGTTAGGTGGCTGCTTCCTGCCCCTCTGTGTCTTCCCGGGAACTGGTCTCTCACTTTTCCCATCCTACATGTGGCCTGGGGGGCCTGGGGGGCCTGCGGGGCTTTCTGCCATGACTGTCAGCAGTGTGCTAGGTGCTCCGCTTTCGATTTACTGGGGTGCAATACAATCATTCCTGACCACATTTTTACCAGACACCCCTCCCACTATGAAGATTGTTTTCAAAGTTTAAAAAACAGTCATTTTTTTTACTACGCTTTTTTTTTTTTTTTACTATGTTGGCCATATAGAACATAGATCCCCATAACTAGGATGCGCTCCTGGAAGGAGATGAGAAATGAACAGGGAGAAATTATTCGTGTTGGTGCCCTTGGGCCAGAAATCATGCTCCTCTTCTACAGAACTGGGCATTTCCATCTTCCTGAGCCAGCTCCCTCATTGTGACCAATGACACGTGTGTGGTTAGTGATGGTGAAAGTGTGACCTCCAGCTTTGGGGTCTGTATATGGATGGATCCACTTTCCTGGCCTCCTGAATACTGTGTTTCTCAACCAAAACTGGCCCTGCTGAGGGGATCTGATGGAGGTGCACGGTCCTCACCCATTCTTCTAGCTCCACAAAGAAGAGGAGAGGAGAGTGCTCTCCCATGGAGGGACCGGGTTTCAGGCCAACCAGCCCCATTTCTGGAAAGGCCACCTGGCAGAATCAGTCATGCCTGTGGACAGCAGAACAGGTTAGGAACCCCACAAAAGGGCGCTCCACCTGTGGTTCTAAGAGGGATCAGGTGGGGGTACATGCGGCACTGCCCGTAAGTTTCCCAGACACCTGGTTCATTTGGTTATTGGATACAATGACAGAAATGGAGAGAGACCTATCTTAACATTTAGTAAATTATTTCTGTTGCTTCCTGCGATAGGCAGAATAACAGCCCCCCAAAGATGTTTACATCCAATCTTTGGAACCTATGAATATATTATCTTAAGTGGCAACAGGGACTTTGCAGATGTGATTAAAAGCCTTAAAATGGGGAGATTAGCCGTAGCTCATTTGGCTCAGTGGTTAAAGTGTTGGCCTATGGACTAAAGGGTCCCGGGTTCGATTCCTACCAAGGGCACATACCTCTGTTGTAGGCTTGAACCTTGGCCCTGGTCGGGGCACGTGCCAGAGGCAACCAATAGATACGTTTCTCTCACATCGATGTTTCTCTCTCTCTCTCCCTTCCACTCTCTCTGAAAGGCAATGGAAAAAATATCCTCAGATGAGGATTTTTTTTTTAAAGGGGGAAAATTAACCTGGATTATACAGGTGGACCCAATGTAATCCCAAGGGTCCCTATAAGTGAAAGGAGGAGTCAGACAAGGAGACATGACTATGGGGAAAGTGTCAGAGTAATACAGTATAAGAGACTCGACTGGCCAGCTGGCTTTGAAGACGGAAGGGGACTACAAGCCAAGGGACACAGAAGCTTCTAGAAGCTGGAAAAGGCTAGGAAACTGGTTCTTATGCAGAGCCTCCAGAAGGAATACAGCTGTCAACACCTTGATTTTAGTCCAGTGAGAACCATTTAGAGACACCTGCCCTCCAAAACAGTAAAATGATAACTCTGTGTTGTTTTAAGCCACGAAATTTGTTGTAATTTGTTACAGCAGCCACAGGAAACCAATACACTTTCCTCGGGAACTCCTGTGCTTCCCAAGGACAGGAATAAGACCTGACTCCTCTCTTTGTGGCCCAAGGGCAATGCCTTGCCTGCAGCAGTGCTTAAAAAGTATTTGTGGGATGAATCTACTTGACCATGCTCTAGGAAAGATCTTGTTCAAGTCATTTAGTCAACACTCTACACATAATCACTCCGGACTTAAAACTGAGTGTCCTCTTGTGTTTGTTTTTTAATATATTAACGTACCTGGCCTGGACTAGAAGCTTCTTGAGGGGAAAGACCCTAGCCGTCCAACTAGCACATGTTCTGGATACAGGGCCATGCACTGTGAGCCACAGGCCCCCTTGGTAACATGAAGCTAGAAGCAGGATAGCTTCAGGAGCAAGCGGGAAGGAGAAAAGAGGCAGAGGGCACTGTAGTTTTTCTGTGGATATTTCACAGAGCTAACAAGGGCTGGGAAGGACCCTCCCTGACCCTAGTCTGAAGATCCTAGGGCCCCACCTTCCTATGGCCACGCTGTGAAGTTCTATCCATGGGCTACCTCTCCCCGGAGTACAGACATTCTAAATCTGTCCCATGTTCATCGATAAAGGGTGTTCAGAGATTGTCACTCCCCTCAAAACACCTCAGTCCCCTCTGCTGCCAATGCCCCCAGACTGGCCTGGCTGAGACAATCTATGGCGAGAAAGCGTGGCAGGAAAGAGTTCAACTAAAATCGTAATTATTCACACCAACGCTGTGCAAAGACAGCTCGGAACTGCGGCCCATTCCTTGGACAGATCCTGGGATACCTCGGAGGCCAGTTCCTGATAGGGAGCGGTTCCCATGCCCTGGCTGTGAGATGATGTGGATTACACACAGGGGTCGAGGAAAACGGAAGGGTTTAGGATAAATCCCAGGTTCCTGATTTTCGTGATGAGAAAGACGGTTAGCTCCGTTAAATAAAAATTGAAGACAGTGAGAAGAGAATGTCTCAGGGTCAACAGACCCTCTATTATGACCATGTTGCATGTGAGGAGCCTGCAGCAGACCCTTTTCGAAACATTGGAGATATGGGGTTATGGCTAGAACAGAGGTCTTTCCTGAGGTGACTGAGGTTGGGAGAACAGATTTATAGGTTAAATTTTCCAGGGTCAGAAGAAAAGGGACAGAGTCTGGTCAACACCATTTAAGAAAACAGACAGAGGTAAGAAAATTTAACAAAGAAACTGAGAGAAAAAGTGGGTAAGAAGAAGTGGTTTAGGAGAAGTAGGAAATGTGAAGCTAAAGACCTTGAAAGAAGGCTTTAAGGAGAGGGTCAGTGGTGTCAAATGTTCCAGCAAGTTCAAGGATGGTAAGACTAGAAAGAGGTCCCTGGACCAGGCACTAGTGGTCTCAGTGGAAGCAGCTTCTGCAAGGGGTGTGTGTGTGTGTTGGATGGGGACAGGGGGCAGAAACAAAATCAGAGGACTGGGTGATCAACGGAAACTGAGGCATGGAGACAGCACGTCTCTCTTTAAGAAGCAGAGACGTGAGGGAAGGAAAGGAAAGAAATGGGCACTAGCTTAAAAGGGAATCAGGACCAAAAGGAAGTTTGTTTTTTGGTGGTGTTTTGCTGTATCATGAAAGAAACCTGAGTGTGAGATGCAACCAGTGGATGAAGGAGAAACGACAAGGCCAGTGAGCGAAGAACCAGAAATGGGCTGGAAGGACCCAGAAGAATGAGACGTGCATGTGGCCAAACTGGTGATGGCCAGGACGTGACCTCAGGGCCACCACCACGGTGCGAGGACAGAAGACAGCTCCTCTCCGTGGCCCTAGCGTGGCTCTGCCCCGACCACAGCCTCACCTCATGGAGCTTGTCAGCCTTCTGGGTCTGCTTCTTCCGACTTCTCTGAGCAGCAACGCGGTTTTTTTCTCTCCTTCGGACCTTCCTGTCATCATCCTCAGGGCTCTGGGGAGAAACCTGTGGTCAGGAGCGATGTGGAGGCCCTTCCTCTCCCCCTTGTCTGCCCTCTCTCCTCGCTCAGCATTGCTCACTGCCTTTGCCATTTTATCAGCATCCACAGCGCTGCTTGTTGCCACATTAGCGGGGTAACCGTAGCCCCTTGTAAGGAACACTCCGCAGGTGCTATGGCTGCATGTAGCTGCTAACCCCCGCGACCACCCTGGGAAATGCGTGGTGTGATCGCCATGTAAACAATGAGGAATTAGAACTCAGAGAGGTTAAGGAACTTGCTCCAGGTACCACAGCTAGTAAGTGGGTGAATGGGAAGTGGAACTCAGGTCTGTTGGACTCCACCAACGTTCATCAACCTCTACCCCGCAGGGCGTGAGCCTGGAGGAGCTGTGGTGTTGGCGTTGTCCATCTGAGAATGGAAAAGGCGGAAAGCATCTGCTATCTGCATTGCTTGTATGTCAGGCCTTACACCACCACACAGAAACAGGGGCTTTTGACACTTGGTGCAAAACACGATTACTCTTATAACTCACTGCAACCACACAACTCTACCAGCACACCCAAGGGTCTTAAACACCACCAACAATACGCTCTTTTGAACCATGCTCGATTGACATTCTGTTTCACCAGTCAGAGGAAGTCAGAAAGCAACTTTATGATGTGTCTTGAAAGCCCTTAGCTATAGGTGAGATTTAACCAAACCTAGTCAAATCCTCCCAGAGTTATCATGAAACAGGCAGGCAGAAAAATGCACCTACCAAGGTAAAAAACACTGCATTCAGTTATAGAAAACACGGAGAGGAGAGCAGCATTTGCTTTCCAGTACCCTGTGAGAAGATACCAGGGGGTGTGAGGGGGGGAAATCCTACCTTTAAAGAGTTCAAAAGCCAGGGAACTTAGTGGGATACGAACATAGGAAAGCTACTCAATTATCAATGTTAATTTTTTTAAAAACCCCTGATAATATAAAGTAAAGAATATGCTCAGGTATCATTTGGTCTTATGTTCCAAGTAAGAGAAACACATACCATCTCCCCCAAAATAATGTGGGTAAACAATTTTTAGCAGATGCAAGAATAAAGAAAAATAAATGACATATACGTAGATAGCATAGCAAGTAGAAGGGGCCTGGAGCTTAAAGAAACAGATGCAAGGTGTTAAAATGCAGTTCCTGAGAGGCAAAGAAGACTCGGCAAACAGAAGCAGACCACCACCGGGGGAAAATGTGGTGCAGAGGACAGAGCTTTCGCATGAGAAACACACAGCTTCTGGTGTTTTTTTTTTTCCTCCTACTGTCAACACAGTCTTGGGGACCATATTCTATGAATTTCTCGTTTTCTCATTTATTGTAAGTGTGATTCATTCATTCTTTCAATAGTGTCAACCGAGTACCTGCCATGTGCCAGGCACTGTTCTAGGCACTGGAAATAACATCCCCGGAACTGCAGCTTGAGGCTGGCATGAGATAAGATTTTATCTGAAAGCTCCCAGCACACAGTATGCCCTCCACAACCTCTGCTGAGGTTGATGCTATTTTGTATTAAGTCCCTTCTTGTGCTTGTCACCAAACCATGCCTCTTCGTTCTTCATCCGAAAGCCGCAGGGCACAGCGAGGCTGCCTGCAGCCTGCCCTCTGGCAGCCGGCCCGCGCTCCGGATTACCACCTGCCACACGGGCACACCTGACAACCCAGAAGGAACGTTTGTCAAGACAGAAAGAGGGGAGCGAAGGTGGGAAATTCACGCGTTATCAACCGTATCTCAATGAGTCCTCGTAAAAACCATGAGGGGCTGACGTTCTTACAGGTGCACATTTCACAGGTGGGGAAAGCCGCAGGCTCAGAGGGGGTAAGCAAATCGCCCACGGCCGTTCAGCCCGCGTCCCCAGGCCCAGGCTGAGAGCCGTGTGGCTGTCTAGCATCACCAGGTGACACTGGTCGCCAAGCACCGCGGTGAGAAGGGAGCACAGGGAGGAAACGCTCAGCCCCGCACGCAGCCTGGCGCAAGCCTCCCGGGGCGGCTGCCNACTGTCCGGGGACAGCGCGGGGGCCGCCGCCGCCAGGGGCTTCCACCTGCGCCCCTAGGCGGACCCCCGGGGCACGGCCTGGAAGGGGGTGCCTGCGCACGAGCTGCCCCCTCGGGGCTGAATGTCCCCTCTCCGAGTCCGGGCCCCCACTCGGAGCTCCGGGGAAGGGCCACGCATGGCTCCGGGGCAGCGCGGCCCCACGTGCGGGGGAAC